CCTATTCCCCACAGCAGCACCTGGGGTGATGAGGAACAATGACCAGAAGCTGCTGGAGAATAGGTTCAGGTTAGAGATTAAGAGGCACTATTTCACTGTCAGGGTAGCTAGGATCTGTAACCAACTTCCTAGGGAAGTGGTCCTCGCTCCTACCTTGGGTAAATTCAAAAAGAGGTTGGATGAACACATGTCTGGGTTCGTGTGATCCCAGCGTGTGCTCCAACCAGTGGTGGGGGGGTCAGACTAGATGATCTATTCAGGTCCCTTCTGACCCCTAACAACTATGAAACTAGGAGATCTGAAATGCATGTGACTTGTGGGTCTAAATCTGTTATTTCATTCTGAAAATTTCAGTCTTCAGCCTTAAGTCTTATGTAATTGTATTTTATCATACATGTTTAGGAACTATTTTTGTTTTAGTTGTTTTTGTAGCTATACTTATAATGCAGATTTTAAGAAAAATGATGTTACTCATAGTATACCACAAATATAAATTATACTTTACAATCCAATGAGTAGTGCCTGCCCAGTCCTAGAATGTACAATCTGATTTAGGTGTTGACATAATGCAAGATTGTAAACACATGATGATGGCTGAACATTAATAATAAACTACCAAATTGACCATTGTGCTGGTCCAAAAATATTCCAAACTGTTATTTTTTTAAATAGTTAAAGACTTGCTTCAAATTACAGTTGTGTCTCCTATGTGCAAGCTCAAATAAATAGAAACCTTTAACTGTGCAAGCTTTCAATGGTTATACTTTACAGAATTTTTTAAATCTGGATTATGTGGCCATGTTCAACTAATTTCTGACCTGCTACTTAACTCTCTAGCCCTTTTAATTCAGCCCCACAGCCTTCCTAACAAATTACTTCTAAAGCCAAGATCACCACAAAAGTAGATAGATATAAATACTGTGACTTCAGTGGAGATGCACTTGCTTATTGTAATGTTGAAATTGAGCCCCAGAATTGTTGTTGTTCCTTTAAACTTTATTTTCCTTATTTAGCTACTTTTTGTTGCTTTGATAGAACTTTTATCTTTATTTCTTCAGTCTTCTCTTGGATTTTTTGCTGTTTCTTTTGTCATTTCATACCCTGTGATCCTTGTTTCACCGGATGTTTCATCTGTTTAGTTTTATTTTTTACATTTACTGTAAGAGTTGCTACACAATCATAATTTAACATCCAGTCTGGCAAAGTAGCACAAACAAAAAACCCAGGAGGAAGAAGCACAGTAATTGGATGGGTCCACAGAGGGGAGTTTTGCTTCAAATCTGGCTATGGAAAGTGAATTTGGAACTTAGGGAGATACTCGGCTTCAGATAAGCCTATTCAAAGATAACAGTGTGCTACAGCTTATCCTATGTTTTTATTACCAATTCATTTGTTTGTACTGAGGCAGTTTTAACATTCAAGAATACCAAATCCTTGCATAATTTCATAGGATCATAGGAAAGTAGCACTGGAAGATCATGAAGTCATCTATTCTAAGTCCCTTTCCAATGAAGGAAATCAGATTGGTCAGGCACGATGAATCCAGGCTGCCTGTTCCTGATCACCTTGTTCTTCCCTAGATTCTTCACAGTGAATTCCTTGAGTACCTGTTCCATGATCTTCCTAGGGATAGAGAGGCTGGTCAGTATCTTAGGCTGACTGGTCTTTAGTTTTCTGGATCCTCTCTTTTCCCCTTCTTTGCCAATGGCTCTGAAATTACACAGCCAATTTCTTCAATACCCTAGGATACCAGTAGAATTCCTTTTTATTACCTTTTATATTCCTTGCCAGCTGCATCTCAAATTGGGCTTTAGCCTTCCTATTTTTTTCCTTGCATGCCTGTGTGATACTCTTGTATTCTTCCCTTGTTTTATTACCAAGTTTCCACTTTTTATAGGATTCCTCTTTGAGTTTTAACTCCTTGAATAGATTTCTGTCTAGCCAGGCTTATCCCTTGTTGCACTTCCTAGTCTTCTGTTGCATTTGGATAGCACTGGGATTTCAGATGTCTGTAGAGAGTAGTGTAGTTAATGTTTCCTTATAACTAACTATACAAACTACAGTAGTGTTAGCTTAGCTTTGAGAACTGAATATTAATTCACTCAGACTACCACACATATATATTTATAAATCTATTTTGTAGGGCAGTATTTGATTTGGATTCAGCCCAAATCAGGGACGGTGATTCGATTACTTGATTCAGATCACTACCTCAATTTGATTCAGCCGAATCTGAAGATTTGATGCTGATTTAGAGAATCAGCAATTTAGCTGTAGACACTGCTTTAAATATTTTTTCTACATACCTCAAGGTACCAGGCATGGCTTATGAATGCTGTGATGGTAGGGCAGATGGAGCCTCCCACAGGAGGGGGTGGGGTGGACCTGCATGCTTGTCAGAAAACTCAGAAGTGGACAGGAAGTACTTCCAGTCCACTTCTGGTCCTCAGCTGAGCACGCGGGCCCCGCCCTCCTCACACCCCTCAACCTTGGTTGATCAGCGATGGGGGGATCCTGGGTGCTCTGGCAGACCCAGGAGGCACCAGTCACCGAGCTGGGAGGT